CAATGAAAAGATGATTTTTTCAACTTACAAATTTTAGCGAAATCTTTAGTTAAAAATGATTCTGTTTACTCTAAAACTTGTAAGTTGAAAAAAAATCAGTTTGATCTATTCGAGTGAGTTATGTTATTATATCCATCACACACACACAACCCAAACTTAGGCCACACACAATATATTTAGTTTTATTATTTATTTTAATCTAAATTTCAAAAATAACCAAACCGAACCAAAAATTGAATGCCATCTTTACTGAAATCACCAAATATATAACCGTTAAAATTTTAAAGGTATATTACAAGCATAAAAGTTATGATTTTGTTTTAACGGTGAGAAGAAGAGAGTATTCAAACATTTCTCAGTCAGTGTGGGTATGCATCTCAACCTGAGATTAACTCGTCACGAGAAAAGAGCACAACTAGTTTATCATATGGAGAAAATATCACACCATTTTATTACTTGTCATATCTCATGACAAAATCTTCCAAACATAAAACAAAATTTAAAACTTTTATTACAAAATTAATTAGAAGAAAGAGTTTACAAACTTTAGAAAACTCCAAATATATGGACTTTTTCATAATATGAGAAGTATATTAACTTCTCATTTCTTCTCATTGATGCCAAGAGTGTTCTTGACACCATCAACAGCACCTTGAGCCATATTCTTCACTGACTCTCCAGTCTGTTTTCGAAAACATTTTAAACATTAGTATAGAATAACACTGATTCGTATTTCTACTAATTCATGTTATATTCAGAATTAGTAATGGTTAAGCATTAATTAATTTAAATTACTTGTTGGATGAAACCAGAGGCTTGTTGTTGACCGTGTTGGGCAGATTCTTTGGTGGACTGAGCCGCGTTAGCAGTCTTGTCGCGAGCACTATGTGCAGTTTCCTTGGCAGATTCTGTCCATTGCTCTGCCTTCTCCTGTATTTTGTATATGTATACCAAATTATACATTATTACATAAAACCAAATTTATATTTCTAAAACTAACAAAAACAAGAAATTGGATGGAAGAAGAGACATTAGCTTGGCCCTTGGTCTGTCCAGCATTGTACGATTGTTGCAAGTTCGACATGATTTCTTATCAACGTAACGTATTTCAACTGTTGCTTTGTGATTTTTGGAGCTCAATATGATTTATAATTGATCGATTGGTTTTTATTTTATTTTGTGATGAGAAGTGTATTTATAGTGTCTTCTTTGCATAATTTGGATTTTGAATTTTGTGGTGAAGAAAGATATGAGCAAACTTCGGTGGAGAGATGTATGGGTGGCCATTTATGTTTTTTTGACTACTTCTCTTATATTTTACATGTTTTTCATTTACAATGAGATTAAGTAAACTGAATAACATGAGAAAATAAACACTTTCCCG